AGAGTGTAAATAAACGAAACAAATTCATTACCTTAACAATGGTCAAACTTACTACAAATGAAAAATTGTTGCTTTGAGCTGATGTATGCTTTTGTTTGTATTTTTTTTAAGCACAGGCACAATAAAAACTTTAAATCTATCTTTGACATATATATGGTACATGTAAAAGTCGTTGGTTAAAATGTATTGTTGCCCCTTTTTTGTAAACGTTGCTTTAAATTAAACAGCTTGGCTTTAAAGGACAGTTCTGAATTTTCACACTGAATTAATGGAAGTCAGCATGATGATTACATAAATCTGAACATATCAAATAATTTTTCCAAAAGCAGAGTCTTGCATTGTTTTCTGACTACACATAGTTTGAATGATTATTAAACAGACTGTTTAATAATAAATTTAAATAATTAGGCAGTTTTGCCACTACTCAAAGATGCACACATACTTTTTTTTTTAATGGCTTATCGTTTTGCACGCCTTCTAGACAGCCCTTACAGGTCATTAAAATAAAAACATCCACTCAAATTGCACAGCATATAGTTCCATTAAAATGTAATGAACATAAGAAGAATTTTTGTCTTTTGGTTTTAAGTTTTTCCTTTTCTGAAGCAACTAAACATTGTTATGTTTAAAAACTTTAAATAAAGATTCTTTTATATATATTCCTTGTTTTTATTTCCTTAAGTTAGTGATTTCATTTTTGGAATTTCTGCTAATTTACTTCATGCAGATTTTTAATTCTGTGAAACAACCTGCCTGCTCTTCCTAACCTCACTCATTTGCTGGGCCACTGTTGTCTCACAGATTTCATGCTTTTGGGGGGGATTTTAAACTGAAGGAGAGAGCTGTAGTTCCTTTTTGCTTTAAGGGACAGAATCAGGGCCACATGTCAGTGGAGGTTCTAGTGGATAACTGGTTATTCCTCTGACTGGTGAACTAGCCATAGCACTTCATAAAAGTAAACAAAAAAAAATCAAACAGATGATAAGGTGCTGAGGGCATCAGTCAAAAACAGCATCTTGTTGGCTATGCAGGTCTTTCTTATTCTGAACCTACATTGCTGTTGCAATTGCTGAACTGTATTTTATTTAGTTTCATGTGCTGCACAGGATCTAGCAAACTGGCAGACTTGTGGCTAATGACCAATATACCTAGCCCAGTTAGTTAGTATGTTTTCATGTGAGACAGGGGTACCTTTTCAGTAAAGGTGGTACTTTCAATAGAGAGTGCTTTGTTTGCATCTAATGACTGCTAACTGCTTTTTTTGGGTTGTTGTTTTTTAATTTGCTGTCTATAGGAGAAGACAGAGGTCTTCAAAGATCACTTTAAGTTACCAACAGATAAAGTTTTAAAATAAACACACAGGACCATACTAACCAGCTTTCAGTGATTTTTTTTTTGTTTTGAGGTTATCAGCCTGTTTGCAAGTCAGTTTTAAGCCACTTTGAAAAATGACACAAAGGACATCTTCTGCTAATTGTACATGCAATACATTGCAACTGCTGGAACACTGTTTGTATAGTTGTTACTGAATCCAGCCTTTCTAAAAGGAACCAGGATGGTCCTTGCTGAAGTGTGCCTGTCTTCTTTCGTCACTTGTTACATACAGTCCAAACAGTGTAATAACAGGGCTGTGAAACATGCTTAAAAGCAAAGAATCCAAAGAAGTTGCTAAAATCATTATTCAGATTGCCATTCCAACTGCAGTTCTCCATGCTAGGTTAAGTACATAATGGCTCAGAGCAGCTTTGTGAAGCTGTTGACTGTTTCCGTAGTATTTTCAATAGTTCCATCTTAGAGGAACAAAGTTTTCAGAGAGATGTCTGCTGTTGGCTTGCCTGACAGCATGGATTGTCATTAACCTTCCAGCAGCAGTGCCCTTTGGAACATGCTTACAGCTTTAATGTCCATCTTGTTTTACAGCTGTTACTGATCTTTGTACCTTATTTCAGCCCTGTCAGTCTCATCTGCATAGATAAAGAGCATACTTACTTACAAATGTCATTCCCCATTTACATCAGTGGCTTTATTATGAGAAATCGGGATTAAACCAATTGTTTACAGTGGTATGGGCACATTAACCATTGGTTCAATGACAAGATTGAGTTTGTTTGAAATAGCTGCAGTACAGTCGTGTACTTTTTGGAACTCAAACAACTCTTCAAAATTAATCTATACTTTTCACATGGAAATTCTTTCCACAGGCTGTACAATAATTCTTTATAGATTAAAATATTTATGTAGAAAAATATGTCTATTTATTATAAAGTAAAACATTTGATTGTCTAGCCCGTACTTTATAAAATACAATAAATGATTTTAAATCTGAGATTTTCATTTATAAAACATACATTCCTTTGCATATACAATTACTTGTTTTAAAAGCCACATTTGTGCAGGCAGACATGGATTTTGCCTTGCCTTCTCATTCTTGTCTTTATTTAAAAACTGCAAGCATAACAGTTACGAAAATGAAGATATGTAAAGTTGGTTTTCCTGCTGCTGAAGTACGTTCAAGCTCTTGGTAGAGGGCAGTTTTAGGACACGAAGCTTCTCTTGTTCTGATAGAGATTTCTGAGAAAGAGAAGTCACATTTCAAAGCACTGAAGTTACCAGTATTATTGGGTACTTCCACTGTCTTCAGCATTGATTTAAAGCCTGGTACAGTAGCCTAGGAACAAACAGGAAAGATTGATTTCTTACTTGGTTTTAAATGTTCATTTCAGCTGTGTAACAATCATTGCCTAATGTGCTGCTTTACACACGTCTGACCTATAGAAAAAGTGTTCTAAACATAAATTAAGCTACAGAATCAGAAAAGAATAGTTTTTCACATATGGCAACTAGACTAAAGCAAAGTAAAATGAGATGGACATGATAACAGAATGTATCTTTTGGTGTTTTTTTTCCACAGTAGTCAAGGGTTTTAGCTAACTAACTTTGCTTTATTTGGGTCATTGATTTAAAATGAACAAACTGATTAAATTGCTTAGCAAGAAGATCCAGAAAACCTGAAGGATGCAACCTGTTCAGTAACAAACCTTGCTAGGCAGTGGCAAAGCAATACATGAAGTCTGCTTCATGCGACCAGAAACAACAATGTGCAGTCATAACAAACAAGAAGCTAGCAGCAAAAACAAGTACTGGATATCATGCAGGTTTCTCTACCTAGCAAATTGGTAGTGCGCACAAAGAAGCCATTTCCACCCAGGGGAGCAGTCCTCACTGATGGCCTTGTTAGTCCCTCAGTGCCTGGGGTTGCATGGCTCCCAGCCTCCAGCTCATCACCTCTGAGGGGCCCTGTGGCTCTGAGGGGCCCGGTGGTTTGCTTCAAACACCTCAAGCTAGTGCCACCATGGTCCAGACACTTAGCTGGCCCCCACCATCTAGCTCAGATGAGTGCTTATTTCTGGACATTTTAGGGGACCAGAGAGCTCACTGTATCAAAAATACATCCTTATTACTGGCTAAAGTTTTAAGTTTAGGGTTTGGGATGTTGTTTGGTTGGTTTTTGTTTGGTTGGTTTTGTGATCTGCTAAAAAGCCTTTCAGGTCTTGTATTTGACTTGAGCAAGTTCAGCTCATTCATCTGCAGGGATTCAGTCTCACTGTGTTCAAGACCTCAACACAGTTAGTTAGAAACAATAATTTAGCCAATCAGCACACTTACATTGATCACGTATTTCCCAGGCAAAAGGAGAAGAAAGTACTCTCCATGTTCATTTGTTCTGTAAGGGCAGATGTGAGGCCTTCCTTCAGCTTCCACGATTGCATTTGGAATAGGATTCCCATGCTTATCAGTAACTTGACCTTTGACGCCTGTGCAAAAGGGAGAGAAGAGAAAGATCACAATGTGTAACTATGGTCAGCCTCCTACTCTGGAAAAGCCAGGCTAAACGTGGCTGGATGCACACAAAGCCTGTTTCCTTCATTTCTAATACATCTAAGTAGTCACGTAAGTTGCTTATATCTTACTGAAAGGAATTAAAATAGAAAATCCTTTTTTTTTTTTTATTCTTAATAGCTTACCATCATATTCATTTAGAAAATAGCATTCTCATCTCTGTTACATCTCGTTTGCTGAAAGCATCACATGTACTTTTCATTATCGCACGCACCTTTATCAAACAGCTTAATGCCTCATTCATGTTTTTTCTTTTTTTAATAAATCAGCCTCTTATCTAGTATTTCCAAATGGCAAAATAACAACAGCTATTTTGCTTATGGCGTGGTTTCCCCAAATTTCTCACAAACAGCCTTAAAGGCAGCATTAAGCAAAGATAAAACAGCAGTCAGGCATTCAGGGCAACAAAAAGGAAGAGAAGCAACAAATTTATGCAAACCCTTCAACTCCGTTCATTATAAAATACCACAGCTTCACTAAGGAGACGTTCTTCCCTCCAACTGTGGAATCAAGAGCACACCTAGAGAGGCCTTAAAATAAACAAACAAACAA